TTGAATGTGTTTGTAGGACTGTGTTTCGCCTCTTGCCTTTGTTATTACAAATTAACTGCATAGATGTTGATCAGAGGCCCACACACACACACACACACACATACAGGAAATTCAAGCTACGATCCGACACATTGTTACTTTCAGTTAAGTCCCCTGAAGTGCAACATACGCAACACACATAATTGAGGTGTAACAAAAGGCCTCTCTACAACAGCAGTAGCCAACACCGCATTTCACATTTCTGCTGGTGCACAGAAGACATGGCCACCATGTATCCAACACACAACCTCGGCAACTGTTGCATTGAACTGCACATTTAATGTTCAAGAGGCACTCAAGGAAAGGGGAGAGGATTAAGCTTGGCATTGCAAGTGGCGAACGTGTCCTGATGTCGGGCTGTGTGGAACAGGATGCGGTAATGCAGCTTCTCCGCAACGGAGCGTATCTACAGGAGACTACAAGTCGAGCAGGATGATGCAGCATTCAATTCACAGAAGCTTGGACCTCACAAGTGACTAACGTATTCACTCAGGTACATTTACCCCTCAAAAAAGTTAATCCGTGTTAAGGGCCTATGAAAGCGTTTTACAGGTCGGCCTCGGATGATTCAACGCGGGTAGGGATGCGTGAATAGGATGGATGACTACTTGAGGGAGGAAACTTGATTTGCACTGCACTGAGTGTTTTTAAAGACTCTAAAGTCCCAGTTTAACCTGAGTGTGCCATCGTATACACTTTCATTGATATTGCATCGAGAATTCGGTTGGGTATACGAGGAAGGTACCAATCGCTAACGCTGAAACTTACTTGTAGCGCCGCCTCGAATCCGTCCGGATTGGCATATTTTGCGTCAACGACGATGACGAACAAGGAGTAGCCTCCATTTGAGGGGTAGGGATAGGTTGTTGTACATCCTCTGCGGATACGCCTGGATTATCATTCTGAAGCAATGGAATCGATGGAAAGGCAACCGACGGAACGTTGGGGAATGCACGAGCGAGAGATATGAAGGTGCTTAATTGAGGCGCCACCTCGTTCATGATCCCCTCGACTGACTCAACGGCCTGGCTCCCGTCTGGAGGTAATGTTGCCCTGTGCACATGTATCATGTGCTCATCCACCTCACTCGGTGAACGAGAGGCAAATGGGCACTGTGGACAGAGAGCCAGGGTGTTGGTCGCCTCGGGGAGGTCGTTTTCTGCTCCCTCCTGTTGCTCCTGTTGTTGCCGTTTCACAGGATCTTCTGCTAGGGAAAAAGGCAGGAAATTTTTAATCATCAACCGATCGGTTTGCTAGGTTAAACAAATGAAAATTACACCAAAACCTGAAAGGACGCTGATGTATTTAGGCGATGACAGCCAAGAGACGAAGGCACAATATGATTCTTCCGGGGCTAGGTACTGATCCTTAACTAGCCCATAAAACAACCCCAATTTAGATTGTGCGCACAGCGACAATTTCCACGATTTACTGGCGCAAATATCAACAGTAAACATGCAACACAAAGCCTTAAGACCTTTGCATCAACGTCAAATGTCAGCGCGAGCATTATGCACCACTGTTGGAGACAATGACCAATTGGTAGGTTTGTCTGATCGCATGTGACACGGTAGGAATGAGATTGGCTAAAAGCGAATCATCCAAACTTAAGGCGGGTTGCATGCGCAGGCCCTTCTACTTCCTCTAGATTTTCTCGAATGATTCACCAGGACCACCAATGCCACCATATTGATGGCTAATCCTGCCTTCAGTTTCCTCCCAGTTTCCTCCCCTCCCCTACTCCCCTGCCTGCCTGCCTGCTTGCCTTTCAGCTCGGAAGCACACACAGACCGAGGTGACGCACACAGCACACTCACACACACGCATACGTGAGAGCGAACGAGCGAGTGTGTAGAAGCTGGCAGGGCAGGGCCAGGGGCAGGGGCAGCAGCCACGGCCATATTCGGACACGGAGGGAGCATGACTCATGCATTGCTGTGGTCCCGCGCGCATACGCACGCACACGCAGAAAGGGAGATGTGGGTAGGGGAGGCATGGACACAGCTGGGCGTCACACAGTCATTAAGCGCCTTCCCAATGAGGATCGGCATTACCTACCCACCCACTTATTCTACCACCTCTCATCGCCCCAACTTCATCGACTGACATCATCACTCATGCCTGCCGCTGCTGCTACACACCAGTTAGCTCATATATGGAGACACGAACCACTGATAGGGTTGATGATAAGAAGTATGATGGCGGGGACAGTTATGTCACAAGGAAACCCCGCCCCATCTCTTCACGCCTATCGAAGGAGGCGGTGTATGCAGGATTCTTTAGGCCTAAGGAGTCCCATTTAAACATCCTCAAGACTATCATCGGGCCAAGATCACCGAGCTAAAATTGATCCACTTATCGTGAAGCCGGACAAAGGTGTATTACAGTATTCCTCCTCCTCCACTGCCCCACCCCCACAAACGGATTCTCAATGCACAAGCACAGAATGGCATTCTGTTCTCATGAATATGCACAACTGAGGATCATTAGCTGACCCCCCCCACCCCGTTCCTAATCCACCCACTCCCCCTCCTCCCTTCTAGGGGTAAGGAAGAGGGGTTGATGCTAATGTCTCGGAATATGATTATCACTTTGCCCCTGTTGCATAAACATCTACTGCAAATCAAGGTGTCTATACCAACTCACCGGGAGGTGGAGCAGATTTGCCGTTGCCGTTCCGACGCGGATCGTTTGTATTTGCCATTACTAATTATGGTAACTGGAAGGGAAAAAGGCATTGGAGGAGAAAAGCGTTTCACAAGGAAGAGCCACTAAATTGGAAACATTGTGGTAGTGGCGGTAAGGGCAATACGGGTCAGTGATGACGACAGCTGGTACAGTTCTCCTCTACGATCTGGCCTGATTTACATGTCCGTGACCCCAGATCGGGTCGATGGGGACTACTTTATTGCAGGTCTGGTAATAGTCATGGAGGTGGTAGTGGTAGGAGCAGCAGTTGCCGCAGCAGAAGTAGGATTGAGTGTTTATACTACACTTGAGCGTAAATGCGCTGCATTGAAGTAAAATGTGGCCTGCAAGTACACGTGTGTGGACACATACACACACTGACGCCTCTAATGACAGGGAAATTATTTATAGGAACTATGACTACGCTTGGCATGACCAAACATTGGAAGCTTCACGGCTAACATCCAGAGTTGTTTATTGCACATTAGGAGTACAGAAAATCTCCGTCAGTGGAACTTCCTACCCAGCATCTGAGAGTTGATAACCAGGAATAACTAAGGATGGAAAACGTCAGGAGTCAAAGGTGAGACTGTAGAGAGAGGTCTGAGGGGGTAAACGCCGTCCACGGACTCCTTCCAATCACAAAAAGGCTCATTTTTGCCGTTCCCTTATAAAAAAAAAAAAAAAGCAACCCCCTTTTAGGTCATAATGCGCCAGTTAGTAGATGGAACAGCCCAGCAACCCCGCTATAGATGGGGTGGGGAGCTAAGTCAGCCACAAAGCACGTGCACACACTTGCGGTCTCCTCCCGGATCCAGCAAAGAGAAGATGGATGCATTCATGTGTCTGCACATTTTGCGAGTCAGCGCTAACGACAGATGGTGTGGCATGTTTACCCTGTTGCCAAGTCGATACCTCTTCTCTTCGTCCGCCTGCCCGCCAGGCCGCTCGCCCGCCTCTCCCTTTCCTCCCCTTCCTCCTGCTCACACAGGTACCCGTCCATTTCTGGTCTATGTGACTCACACATCTTGCGAAGACGGCGTTACAAAAAATGCAGACCTAAATACATAAGGCTCACGGTGCTATGGTTAAAGTTGAGAATTGACTTACACTGTCCTCCTACCACTAGGTAAGTGGCGAAGTGATCCACTTATGAAGAAAAAAATGGAACCACTTAAAAAAAGAATGTCTAGACCTTCCAACAGATGTCTACTGCTCATCATACCCTTGATTATTATTAGTAGAGAAAGACAAGATTTCCTGAACACAGTGGGAGCTGCCTGGCGTGGAGCCTGTGTTTGCGTTTGCGTTTACAAGTGCCCGACAATGTTACGTGATCTCCTACTCCCTGCTGTCCCGAAAAGGGACTTGTCGACCCAGAATCCTTCCGAGAAATCGATACACGTACCCTCCTAAACCCACACCGATTTCAACCAATCCTAGCCTGGTCTGGTCCATTGCTAATTCCCTCTTCTACGCATTCACATCAATGGCAACTGGGAGGGAGGCATCCTCTACCACAGATGGATCAACGTGAGTTTGTCGTCTCCCAAATGGGAATAGGACAGCGAAACGACCTTTGCTTCTCCGTACGACGCGAATAACTTTCTTGTGAGAGCTACCTCTGCACTCCTTTCACCTGTGTAGGTGATAGCGGTGTCGTTATCATGAGGTAAACAAGCTGCCTGCTTCTCCAGTTTAATTACCTGCTAGGTGGAAGTGTTTATTCGAACTGGAAAATTCCACCCACAACAAAATAGCAAGTGCACAGGCCTGAGATCGTTTGAACGAACAAAAAACGGGTTAATTGACCACATTTGAAAGGCGCGACGGATAGTAAGATTAAAGTACGAGCGCGAGTTAAAATTATTTTAAAGTTGACATATGAATGTGCCCCCGTGCTCCGAGGTGCCCTTAAAGGTTGAAAGCAAAGTCGGGTCAATAATAAATAGTCCTCTCAAATACTCGACTTAGAGGGTGGATTTCTTGTGAAGCACACATCAAAAGCATTCTTGATTGACCAGACGAAATAGTGGAGGGCTGGATGGATGACTGAATGGGCGGACAGATTAATGACCAAACAACCCAATGAGTCAACGATCCATCGGGTAGAAAAATAAAAATAACTGATCTTAAGGCAAATAATTAAAACATTTGAAAGAACGTGGCATTTAATGCTGTACATTAGAAACAATCCTCCGACATCTTTGCCATCAGTGTCAGCTCTTTGTTTGTGAACAATATAAATTACTCCTAGTTTGATTGTGGTCAATTGGGAAAAATATGCGGAAAAGGGGGATGACTCCCATACCCACCGAAGCCGCCAAACACGCTCTCACGGCTCCCAGAAGATAGACACTTTCCTAGCTAGACTCTGGCGGGGGTCCCTACTCCTCGAATGACTATGTTCCCCTCTCCCCTCCCCCACCAACCCCACCACCCCAACAAGTAGTAGGACTGATTTGCTAATAATCATGAAGCGGTTATGTGCCAGAGTTGTTAGTCATCCTAAAAGGGGTCTACACTTTCGGCACTGTCGGAAAAAAAACGGGCCTTTAGCTAGAGTACCAGAACCAACGAAACTTATGAATAGGATTAAAAATGAAGCGGCTAAGAATGAGATTAGTGGAGATGTACAGACTGCTGGATCCAAAGAATGTACACTGAAAGTAAAAAAAGGCACTATTTCTAATATCTGAGTTAACTGCGCCAGTGTATGTCCGGAAATTATTGTCAACAGGGGGATGATCAATCTACTAATCATGAATCAGCGGCCAGTACGGCATAAAATCAAACATCTTGGCATATAAAAAATTATCCATATTACTGGCAGTAAAAATCAAGATTTTGGACTTACTCAGACTGATCTCTGTGCAGTGATTCCTACCAAACTCGGATACTCTGAGAGATGAAAGGACTGAAGACTGTTTGCTGACAGCAAAAAATTCTTTAAATACACAAAACTAACCAATGGGGTGAGAGTGATTCTCTTAAAGCCAATTGGAAGCGCGTTCAAGCGCATTCACTACGCGTTCATCCAATGACTTGCCAGCCTCTTGTCTGCGATTTGATTGGTCTTGAGAGAGCATCACGACTTCCTCACCTAATCTGCCCTCGCAAATTGCTGCTTTTTGTAGAAAAAAAAAATTAGAGGTAGAAACTACTGTTACCCAGGCACAAAGGAAGGGGGTCAGTATTTCCAGAGGCTGTTTGCTACACTTTTTTGCAAGACGGTGGGTGTGTGCGTGTGTGACAATTGATTTGTTCGTACTTTTTAGACGTGGCAACTTAGTTACCATCGATTTTGACGGCCTCCTGTAGGTTGGCTGGGTGACTTTTTCTGGCAACCATAAGATTGAAATGGTGATCACAGTTGCATCAAGGACAAATTTAATCACTGTCAAGTTCCATTTTGCTCCTATAGGCGTCAAAGTCTTCCTACTTGATCCAAAGTTTTTGCTTTACATTACAAGCAAAAATTGCCTTTACTGTAGATGTAAAAGTCATTTATTCTCTAGTAAAACTACTATAGCTTCTGAGTTAATGCTAAAAACATCAAAGTTATATAAGCCCCATATCATTAATGCGGCAGTCGAGTGGGGATATTTGGAGAGTCAATCGTAAAGTTAAAGGTCATGTTGCTATTGCATTTAGCCTTCGGGCACCTGATTTACGTCAGTCCATACGTAAAGTTAATTTGTTGGAGTGACTACACTCTCCCTAAATGGCCATTTGTTTATGCGGGCAATTGCAGTTCTTAGTTTATCAATGATCTGGTGATTTAATCACGCCGCATTGTTTGCGTAGGGCAAGAGGGGGTAGAGGTGATCGCCAGTACGAGAGACAGAGGACGAGGGTAGGGAAAGGAAGAGTAGGCCCAAGATACTGGGTCACCTCAGGCCGGATGTCCACACACGGCCATTGATGACCTTAAAATTACGCCTACAACCCAGAAGAGACCCCCTTTGCACACACACACCTGGGCCAGGCCTGACGCTAGGAGAAAGGGATGCTCTCCACACAAGGTGATTCTAACATTTCAGAATTTGGAAAACCCATTTCTGTACCCTTTGAGAGAACTTCTTAGTCAAACTTTGGTTCATGGCTCACGATATTTTCTAATGGCTTTTAAAGACTAATCACTCAATCAGTTGACCTCCTCTTTTATAGTATTTATTCCAACCTAGGACGACGATAAAACTGCTAACTTTGATTGAAGCACGCATTCGTGAGATGATGGCAGTTCTGACACGAGTTGAAAGACGTTTGATTGCGTCATGCGAGACTATTTCCCGCGCGGGACAGGGGTGGGGTGAGGGAACTCAAACCTCAAACATGTTTTTGGACGAGTGGTGATTGGACAATTATTCCGGATGCGTAAAAAAATGGCCGACTGAGACATGGAGCGTTGCTTGAGCAGGAAGAAGGGGGGGGGGGTAGGGGGTCTGCTATGAGTCAGCAAAGTAGAAAGGATGAATTACATGAATCGACATTGTATCTTGGGTTCAAAAGAGTCCTAAGAGTATAAATTTAGGCATTCGCTTTCTCATTTCCTACTTCAAATTTACTTGCTAAATTAGTGAGCTTGAAGAATTTAAAAGTTATAGATTATCAGGGAGAAAAATGTCACCCAGAGGAGGTGGTATTTGACAAGCTACTAGTCAGAAATTCCCCTCTCCCACTGATAATGGCAATTGGAATGAGGTTGGACACCACACTATCTTGGTTTGGCTAAGATAACTTTTAAACACTGATGTAATCACATATATCTTCTTAATCTTGCTAGTCTCCATGCCACCACCTCAGTTTTTATGTTTGTCGGCCCAGCAGCAGGATTAGGAATCGGGTGACATCAGACATCTGTCATGAGCTCTGGTTAGAGCACATTATGGAGGAATGAAAGATTTAGATTTCAAATAAAAAAGCAAAAGAATGTGTATATTTTGAGGATTTAACCTGCGAAATTTTTAAACTTTGTGTTGACTTGGACTGCCTTTACTCACTACCCCCTTTAAAGCATGGATGCTGCCTTACTGTCCCATTGTTTGAAAAATCTTTTTGTTGCTTCTACTCGCTACTTTGGCATGGAATGCGGAAGTAGACTTCTGTTCTGTTTGGTATGATCAATGTCCTCCGGAATAGAAAAAAAAATTAGTAGTTGTTATAATCTATTTCCATAACCTTGACAGGTGTTGCCACTGTTATCCAAGACGAACTGACAGCGCAACGAGATAGAAGAAATAAGTGTTTAGTAAACCAAACAAAGGTATAAATAACGGACCTAAAATTCAGAAGGATGGATTCAGACCGATGAAAATGAGAGGTGGCTTGCTTTTTAACCCTAACTCAACTTCAAAGCTTTGAAGAAAGCAAGCTGTTTGTCTCGGTACCATTCTTAATATGCATCCCATGGTCTTCTTTTCCCATGAATTGGATCCCTTCGGCCACGCAAAAATGGCGCACAATTGCAGGCATTCGGTGATAAATAATAAATTTTTTACTTTGCCATCTCTTCACACGCTTTTTTGAATAGTTTTAAGACAAAGGTTTGAACTCGGATTGAAAAAGTCTTTGGAGGAATAAGATGCACACAAAAGTGTTGAGAATAATTAGTTAGTATCTGAGGGGTTAGCCAAGCCAGTGGGGTCGAACAGGCCGAAGCACCTCAATAGAAAAGGATCACAACCGAGACGAGGTTCTCCCTAGTTTAAGACGTGGTAGTTACAACAGAGGCATTCCACTTATCCTAGACCTTATCATCGGGGCTTTATGGTCTTGAATAAAGGTAAAGACGTAAGACATAAATCGAAGGGCAGCACCTCTAGGGGAGGACACATTGCTATGCAATCATAACCCATTGTGAGCTTGCTCAGAGTTTGTGATGGGTCCATGACCCTCATCCAGCCTCTCCTTCCATTCGACAAATATCATCAAGTTGGCAAAACGGCCAACTTTCGAGGTGGGCCTACTCGAATGGATGCCAACAGCTTTGCATGGTTATCCGCTAAGTAAATCTCGCAAAGCCGATGAATTAAAGTTAGCTAGTCAGGTTCTCGACTTTCCTCTCAATCATCTAACCTTACACAATTGAGTCTGTGTTTATTTTCGGTGCTTGTGCATTTTCCGGCTCACTAGTGTGTCATGACACCGAAAATTAATTAATTCTGGGAGGAAGTAAGTGTTGACCTCCATCAAAGCTGACTCGATTCCCATGATTTCTAGGACCTCGTTCCCAAAATTTATAGCCGCTACTTGGCGAAGACGAGCTAAATTACACTTCATCTCGAGTGATTTGATTGCCCACTAGAAGGAGGCAACACTTCAGCTGTATGCCTCTATTCAGAAATGGTTTGCAGTAAAGGTCTGGGAGTGACTACCCTGGAATTCTTCATTAAGAGGAAGTGGTTAAAGCTTTCACCTTCCCCTGTTCATTTAGGAATAAAAAGGCGATGGCGATATCTCTGACATCATCTGACAGCAGACAACCAGGTCGTCATGCGTAAGTCATGTTTACGTTCCTGCGACAGGGGGAGAGACACACAAATGGTTGAAAGGATTGTAAAGCATCCATTTGTTGAGGCAAGTATGCCGATTTCACTGGTGTCCACAACCAAGACAAGATAAACCCGCACCACTATCAAAAAAGGCCGCAAGGCGAAAACCTTATCGGCATGTTTAGCAGTCTAAGTCGCCTAAGTTAGACAAGTTTTAGAGACAGAACAAACAAAGGTTCATTTAGTCTTCATTCTCCTTACTACGAAGTCAAAATCATTTCCTCCGAAATACCGAAGAAGGTAGTAAGTGTACCTTGAAGTGAGCATCGCATTTCCCATCAAAGTTATGTGACTTCATTCTGGACCATTCGGTCAGATGCGTTTATCCATTGCCTACCCTGAAGCATGACAAGAATAATGTTACTTGATTAATTTTACTTACAAATTTCTGCTTTGCCTCACCATATAGCAATAACCTTTCAAAATCGCTTCCTCGTCTTTGTCACATGCTTCATGCCTTGACGGTCCTAAGCTAGATCCCATGTATTCCACGGTCTCTACGTAGATTTGTCAACTTTATTTTGTTAAAATACCCATATCTGTGGGTAAATTTGATAAGCTGACACATGGAAAAGCTTTATCGTCAATCTGAAGGAATTTCGTTCCAGCAGATGACCGCTGTCCCGCACCAGGCAAAGCTTGTCAAGTAACGCGGTGAAAACGAAAGATCCATCTCCTGAATGTGTACTCAAGGCAATCCCCAAATTCCCACTCAATTACGATTGTGTCAGGTGGCATGGAAATCACCTTTCGCAGCGGAGATGGACTTTTGATACAACTCTCCAATTAATCGACAATGGTGTAATCACATGAGCTTGTCATGACCCGAGGTAAAGCTCACTCAATGAGAGTTTAGTAACAAAACGATACCACCAAAGCTAATTTACTTCGCAACCAAGGGTTCGGAAAGTACTTCCCAAGTTAACACAAATGCGTATTCACTTTAAGTTAGGCCTCGTGTCGAAATATCGCTGGCACATGACACCTTTTTGACAGGCGTATTAATCCTTGGATTTTGAGGAATGCAAGGATGTGGCTTTCCCAAATCCGAGAGCCCATTTATTTACCTCCCACCTTAAGACAATATCATTTGGGGAAACTGTGATTATCCGCATGCCATTTGTTCATTGCCACGCATTCAAATGTGCTAACAGTCACCGCCGGATAAATGGGGACAATGCTGACTCATGTGGCAGGTAGAAGCTGATGTTCTCTGCTGGTTTGGATGACCCCCCTCCGAATTGTCTACACCCTTGGCTAACATCTCCAGGTGTTGCCCTTTCCTTGTTACGACGCCAGAACATGCGTCTGTCCGCCTTAGCCCTTGGCTGACACCCCTCGTAGGTCTCGTTTTTTCAATTCCAAGCTGCACCCTATCAACCCGTTCGGAGATTATCTTACCAAGACACATCAGGGGAGATCGCAAGACGGGCAACCTCAAAAGCATGCCTCCATTTAACCAACGCTTGCAGCATTGTGTTGCTTTGTGGTTGATCAAGTCCTCAAAGCGGTTGAAGGAAATGATGGGCAACTTCCTTTCCAGTGATAACATGACAATCGGCTGTAATTTTCATTCATTTTAAAAGGTATCGAGGGTAGATCATGAAGGGAAAAAGTGCGTTCGCCATCAGGCTCCGACAGTCTAGCCGTTCTAACAAGAGATCTACTGACCACTCTACTTTGTTATTGCCTTTCTGGTTAGTGGAAGAGTGGTAATAAGATCCGATGGGAGAATCAGAGGGTTGTGCATGCGTGCCCAACTGGTAGACAATGAGCCAAACCATCTGTGAACCTGCAATTTCAATCATTACTGAAAGGAGACATTCAAGTCCACGGAGTTAAACAAACTCTTACGTCAGCCTGATTGATTCCATGTAAGTCTTGACTTCCAAGTCTTCTAGTTCTCCATTTCGATCGGTTAATATGTAGAAGACAGCGGTTACCATCAATCTTCCATGAGCAGGCAAAAGTGCTAAATAGCTCTAAATAATCCCTTTTTTGCTGTAATCCACAAGCCGAGTTGATTTACAAGACCCTTGCTATAAAACGCGCCGATGGTGTCCCCATCTTGTTGCTCCGGTTACAGTGACGGTGTTGTGGTCTGGTAGAATCAGTAGATCTGCCTCAGCGGTTGGATATTCCAGCATCACATCAACTAGAATGCGGCAGGTAGGTGAACGTGACTTATGCGTGACTTTGATGCCTGCTGTCAGACGCTGTCAGAATCGCTGTCGGGATGAGAGCAGAGGATTCTCAGGTTATTAAACACTACTTCCTATTTGGATTGATTTCGTATCAACCTCGTGGAAAACACTTTACAAGAACCCGAGTGACCATCTCCTACCGCTGACCGAACTCTTACAGGCTGATACTGCGACCCCTCTATCTGTGGCCGCCTTTGTAATGGTAGGTCAAGAGAGGAATGAAAAAGCGTCACCCAATCCCTTTTAATGAAAAAATTCAAAATGATTACTCCTAGATCTTTACTACAGACTGTTTGTCAATAGAGGCACAAAGTTGAGTGGAGGATCAAAGCTCGGCCTCGCTAAGCAGCAGGTAAAAATTTAGAGAGCGAGGGCCTATAAATCATGCAAATTTAGTCAGCTTGATTAATATTTCCGATTTGATGAGGGCTGACACTTACTTTCTCTCTTTTCGTCACATCCTCTCCCACTTGATTGGGTTTAAGTTCACTGACCCCGATAAGCCGGATAACACAGTCGTATCAAAAACGGTCACAGGCTCAATCGTTAAGTCGAGAATTCGACTAGCAAACTTTCGTCCACCTCTTATTTATTCAATGGGGCGCTTTAAGGGACTGACCTAAGGAAAAATTGTATAAAGCTGCTAGAATCCATTGGAGGAGACCCACATGTGAATTCGGTCCAGATGCTTGACAGGGTCATGCGTCAAAATTTGCTGAATTAAAAGAGAAGGCGGTTGAGTATTTTAGCTACATGGAATAAGTAACATCTGGTGCGGAGAAGCAAGATGTCATCAGGTCAGGGGGAGGAGGGAGGGGACGGTAGGCTTGGTTGCTTCATGTTTCCATTGGTGGTGTGGCCTAATACCGCTACTACTTAGAAAAGAAACGTGTCCACCAACTCCTGGGTCATTTTATGTTTAAAAATTGAGTAATTTTATAGCAACTTTTTTTACTTTGATCGGGCTTACACGTTTTAGGCTTCGAAATATGCAAACCGCTTTTAGTTCCCTGCTAAAATAAGCAAGGAAGGGAGAGGGGGATCCCCAAACATCTAGCTGCCAAAATTTCCTCTGCCAAGCTGAGGAATAAGGCACTAAGGCGAGATCATATTCTCACCTCGCTCCACACGTAACCTACGCACGAGCTCACTCTAGTTTCTGTTTTTTTTAGAGAACGTGTGCATCTCGTTGGAGGCGGGTGGTGGCAAGGGCGAGGGGGATGAGGTACGACGAAGTGAGGCAGAATGTTCATCTCTCTCTCTCTCACACTCTGATTTAACGTACAGAAGCTCACGCCACACGACCTTTGCTCCCCTCCTCTCGAGAACAAGCAAACACAAATAGGCAAACACACTTATCATCTCATGCACTCGCTCATGGAGGACGTGTACATGTGCTCGGCATGTGCAAGGGCACATTTCTTGATGCCACCGACGCTCGCCTCTCCGACTGACATCTTGCATGCGGCAAAGCATTCTAGCGTCTGGAAGCTAACAACTGTCTTCTAGTCTTATTTACAAAAATTACAAGTCCAAAAAAATGTCATAGCAACGTACTGTCTTCCTTTGGCAGACAGGTTGATAAAATTCGTGCTAGCTGTTGAACTCTAAAGAGATTTAGTTAATATCGGTTCAGTATTACTTTAGTTATCTGACCATACATAAATATGTTCACGTCTGTACCACATATTTGCGCCTTCGTAATTTTCTTACATGAGGCCACGCGTCACCTATATGTGACACACTTTACTGAAAGGACCGGATTCAAAGTGAAAGAGAAAATAGCTAAAAATAGAATTTTACCAAGACGATCAGATGTCTAAGCCGTGTGGAAGACCTTTTAGCATTTCATTTAAGTTAAGCTTCCTCAACTGATCTGTGAGCGGGTGAGGTCGGTCGTGCACTCGAGCATGATAGCATGATAACAAGTCAAATCCTTAACATTTTTTGCTACTCTAAAATAATAAACCACTAGCTCTTTGCTGATTTGTTTTGGATCGTGCTTGTGACTTTAGAACGGAGACAAGAACCCTCTTGCGTCACGTATACGTGACACTTGTAGTGGTTGAATCATGTGCAAAAAGATAAGATATTAAGTACAAATATCAAAATTTTAGCAGTTTTAAAATAGCCAAGAGCTATATGACTTATTTTTTCTTATAATCACACATATGTGACTTGGAGAGAAGAAGAATCACTTCGTCACATATTTGTGACACAGGTAGTGGTCGTGTCAGCCTCAGAAGAATTACCATATTCAGGTAACTTCTCCATATCTTCGACTTTTTTTAGAAGCATGTAGTTGTTTTGTTCTTCCTTTTTAGGTACATACCTATGACTTGGAAACTTGAAGAAGAAAATTTTTCCGCCATATTTGAGTAAGGCTAGTAGTGCCCATGTCAGGCAAAGACAAAAGGTGCTATATCAAGTTAATTTTTTAGTATTCTAAGTATTTTACACAAACAAAACTGCGAATACTTTTTTGCTTTCCATTTTAAATAATGTACCTGTGACATGGAAACTTAGGGAAGAAAGGCTCTTTCGTCACATACACGTGACACCAGTATTAGTCGTGGCAAGCACTGGAAATTTACGACAGTAAATCAAACTACAAGCACTTCGGTTATTCAACAATAAAGAACTGCTGCTAAATTGCTTTTCTTTATGAACCACATATATGAGACCTGAAAATTTAGGCAAGAATTTTCGTTTGTTACACAGGTATTAAACAAAAAAATTGGCTTTTAGCGTAAATGTATATATTTTTGGCTGTCTTAAAGGAATAAACTTTGTAACGATCTTCTTTAGTTGTAGCTCAAATGTCTGCAACGTGGGCACTCAAGGAAGAAAATCCTTCTCGTCACGCATATGTGACGCTGATGTGCCGTTATCTACCAGGATAATACCTATAAGCTACCGCCCTTTTTTCTTTAAGGCTGCAACTCACGCACGCTTAAGTACAAGATGTAAAGGATTCGTCACATTCGAACATGACGAACGATGTTCTTCCGGGACCCTGATGAATTCTGATCGACGTTGCCATGTGCCAAAACACTGTCAAACAGTTGATATTTACTCACCTGGAGACTTCTTTTCCTTCCTTGATCACTATTTGAGTTAGGCAGTGTCATGACAACTAAAGTTGCAGTTAAGTCTGAGTAGTTTCTTGAGCAGGGCTCCGGCGCATACACCGATTCAATATTTTTGCTCTCCTAATAGATTTTCATCACAGTAGAATGAAATAAATTCCATGATGACATTCTAAAGTAGCATGTCATCCGTAAAACTGTAAACGAAACCGATAGTGGGTTCCACACTCCATAAGTAATGACCTCTTTCAAAGTAGATCTTGTCTTCATTTCCTAGCCATCTTTTCAACCAGTCGGTAGTAGAAAGGCGAGGTTACAGTTTGTCCCTACGATCATCGTTACAACGGAGGAGGAGGAGGAGGAGGAGGAGGAGGAGGAGGAGGAGGAGGAGG